TTTTTTTTTTTTTTTTTTTTTTTTTTTTTTTTTTTTTTTTTTTTTTTTTTTTTTTTTTAGTGAGGTGAGCGTCTTTAGTTAAAACAAAATGTTATGTAAAAGAAAAAACGAGAACAATGATCTCACGCCGAAGAAGAAATGATTATTTCTTTTTTGGAGGATTCGGATTATTTCTTCTAGATTATATCATATGGAGATCTAGATTATATCATAGATCATTATAGCATCTAGATTATTTTAATTAATGAAATTTATAATTTTAATTAATGAAATTTCTAAAGATGGGACAGTTTTAAATTCACCCCATCATAATCTACTACTTAGCTAAATTTATTGGTTTTTCTGAAATTAACAGCGTAACTGAATTATCGTAATATATGGGCGCAATATTGGAATTTCCGGAAGAGATCCGAAATACGGAATTTCGTCGGTCCCGCGAATGCCGGATTTTGGGTCCTATACTGTATATATATATAGAAAAAGTGATTACTAAAATTCGAAATTCATACATCATAGCATCGTATTAAAAATTAGGTTCCTTAAAATCATGTAGAGTTTTGTAGCAATAACTATTGAAAAGGCGATTGAGAAGCAAAATAGATTCACAATGGAATCTGTGCAAATTGTGTGCATTAAAAAGTGATGACTCTAATTTGCAATTAAATTTTTTTTTTATTTTTTAGAAAGAAAATTTTTTTATTATGTTCAGAAGCTACTGCGGGCCACAGGCTGTCAACTCAATTTATGCTTTAAAAAAAAAACATTGTTAAGAGCACAGAAAAGTCTCCTTTTCCTGAAATAGTTGCTTTTACAGTCTTTTCAGGCAAAAAAAAGTAGCCATAGTTGCCTCAGGTAGAAAATAGTTTCTAATAGTCGCATTTTAATCACCTGTAGCAACACTGCTCCCATCAAAATTTTAAATCTTAGAATTCAATGCATACATCATCGATTCCAAATGAATAGAAAATACTTAAAAATTTCAAACCAATAATAAACCCACAAGGCAAAACTTAATTACTGAACAATTTTCAAGTTCAAGGATTCTTAGAGCAAACTTAAGAAGAGAAAAAGGAAACAACCCTACCAACAAAATAACTTGGGCATGCCTATATTCATTCTTCTTGGCTCAACATGGGTTCAATGGGCCATTATTTTTCTGATACCGGCCCTATATAGAATTGTCAGATCCACCCGATATTTTATATCCATTATTTATCCAAGATAGGTCTTATATGAGCCAGTGTAGGCTCTATATAGGCCAATCTAGGTCCAATATTAAAAAATCTAGACTGGAAAATCAACCTGGTCTCTCGGTGTGAGCTCTTATAGGACCCATGTTGAGCTAATTTTGAGCATAACTGGGGCCAAGTTAAAATTGTTGGTAGGGAAGATCTGTTTGCATGAAATTGATATGCATGTGCATGTCTTTGTAAAAAGGCAGGCAATATTTTTAACAATTGGTAGTACATATAGGAATATTTATTATAGTGTCATAAGATTATAACATACCTGAAAACTTTGGTGAAATAAAATAACTGAGATTTTACTAACAAAATTTTTTGGGCTTCAAGTAAAGATTTGATACATCATGCATAGTTAAGTAAGTCAAAATCGGAAATAATGTAAGCACTTACAGTTAGCGAAGTAAAAAATATGCACTACATAAATCTTAATCTAAAGAAGAGTTAATTATAATTACTATTATAATTAAGAATTATTTATAATTACTTAAAATATAAACACTTAACATACTGCAGTTCTGGCACTAGCACCATCTGCTAAGGAATAAGAAAAGTATTTTTGCCAGTAGCGGATATTTCATCGCCAAATTATTATTTTTAAATTTCTTCAACCAATACGGAGAAATTTGAAAATATACGGGTAAACAGGAGATAATTGTAAAATACAGGAGTCTTCGTTAAAAAACAGGAGATTTGGCAGGTGTGTTACAAAATCTAGTATTTTTGCCTCAAATAACCACACTACTCAGTGTTTAGCTTATCTTGAGTAAAAGTGTGCAAATACAGAAGTTATTTGTATTGAAATTTTCCCCCAAGTTAAACATTCACTAATAAAAACGCAGTTAATTTTTGAAAAATACTTACAAACAAGTTAGATGGTTTGGTTGGAGATGCTTTGACTTCTGAATCGGGAACTTTGTGCGGGGACTGAGTCCTGGGGGAAGTGTCCTCAGGTACAGTTGACTTGGTCTCAATTTTTTTTACCCCAGATTCATTTGATTTGGGCTCCACTTTTTTATCTTTCGACTCAGTTAATTTGGCCTCTATTGGCTTTTCTTTGATAGGAGCAATCATGCACTACAAAAAAAAAAAAAAACTTTAAAATAGTTTAATGAAACAATTTAAGCACTCACATTACAAATTTATTATTATCTTCCATTAATTCTTCTAAAATATACTATAACTAGATTTTAATAAATTTTCTTTTTAAACATCCAATTGTAAGAAATAAGCATCCACAGGATTGCCACAGAAGAAAAATTAACAAAATAGTTGCTTCCAGTAGCCTAAACCATGAAAATACTAGCCTAAAATATGAAAAAAGTTGCTTAAATAAAAACAAAAATTTTTCAATAATATGACTAAAATTTTTTTAAATGACTTCATTCTAATATACCATGATCTATTTCGTCAAGTTGACGACCAATATAATTTTTAAACAAACGTTAATGTTTCAGCACTAAATTTTTATATAAAAAAAATCAGTATATTTGCAGAACATTAAATACTTTTAAATGCTAGAATAATGCAAAAAAATAAGTTTTTGTTAAAAAAACACACTCTTTCGATTAATTTTCCCTATCACATAATTTTTCCTTTCATCAATAATTAATTTAGCAAATTATATATATATACAGTATGGGACCCCTAATCTGGCACTTAATCCAACCTAATTTTTTTTAAAGAAATTTTTATTGATAAGAGAAAAAAAAAGCAGTAATATTTTCTTTTTATTCAGATTTTTTTTTTCTTGAAGTAAGTAACTATATTTTATCTTTTAAAAATAAAAACATGAAAAGAAAAAAAATAATAAATCTGTGTCAAACAAACCATCAATTCCTAAAGCAGTTGAAATTGAAAAGTAAAAACATCTGCATTTCCAATGAACAAAATAAAGAAATTCAAGTTGGGAGAAACTGATAAATCAATCTTGACAGCTGCGCAAGTGCTTTACTGGTTTGTCCACACATTTCCCTCTCCTGTTTGACCATAAATTAGCCACACCCTTTTGACATTGAAACTAAATAATACAATGTACAAAATGAATTCTATCCCTTTTGCTGCCTTTTTTTTAAAATTCGATTTATTTACCTTTTTATTAGTTATTAACTGTTACTTTTTTTTGTTACTTGTCAACTAGTTTTGTTGCTTGTTTTTTTTAATCGTTATTAGTTGTTTGCTTTTGTTTTTAGTTATTCATCGTTAGTTTCCTAGCATTAATTGTTACTTTTTTGTAGTTCCTTGTTATNTTTTTTTTTTTTTTTTTTTTTTTTTTTTTTTTTTTTTTTTTTTTTAGTGAGGTGAGCGTCTTTAGTTAAAACAAAATGTTATGTAAAAGAAAAAACGAGAACAATGATCTCACGCCGAAGAAGAAATGATTATTTCTTTTTTGGAGGATTCGGATTATTTCTTCTAGATTATGTCATATGGAGATCTAGATTATATCATAGATCATTATATCATCTAGATTATTTTAATTAATGAAATTTATCATTTTAATTAATGAAATTTCTAAAGATGGGACAGTTTTAAATTCACCCCATCATAATCTACTACTTAGCTAAATTTATTGGTTTTTCTGAAATTAACAGCGTAACTGAATTATCGTAATATATGGGCGCAATATTGGAATTTCCGGAAGAGATCCGAAATACGGAATTTCGTCGGTCCCGCGAATGCCGGATTTTGGGTCCTATACTGTATATATATATAGAAAAAGTGATTACTAAAATTCGAAATTCATACATCATAGCATCGTATTAAAAATTAGGTTCCTTAAAATCATGTAGAGTTTTGTAGCAATAACTATTGAAAAGGCGATTGAGAAGCAAAATAGATTCACAATGGAATCTGTGCAAATTGTGTGCATTAAAAAGTGATGACTCTAATTTGCAATTAAATTTTTTTTTTATTTTTTAGAAAGAAAATTTTTTTATTATGTTCAGAAGCTACTGCGGGCCACAGGCTGTCAACTCAATTTATGCTTTAAAAAAAAAACATTGTTAAGAGCACAGAAAAGTCTCCTTTTCCTGAAATAGTTGCTTTTACAGTCTTTTCAGGCAAAAAAAAGTAGCCATAGTTGCCTCAGGTAGAAAATAGTTTCTAATAGTCGCATTTTAATCACCTGTAGCAACACTGCTCCCATCAAAATTTTAAATCTTAGAATTCAATGCATACATCATCGATTCCAAATGAATAGAAAATACTTAAAAATTTCAAACCAATAATAAACCCACAAGGCAAAACTTAATTACTGAACAATTTTCAAGTTCAAGGATTCTTAGAGCAAACTTAAGAAGAGAAAAAGGAAACAACCCTACCAACAAAATAACTTGGGCATGCCTATATTCATTCTTCTTGGCTCAACATGGGTTCAATGGGCCATTATTTTTCTGATACCGGCCCTATATAGAATTGTCAGATCCACCCGATATTTTATATCCATTATTTATCCAAGATAGGTCTTATATGAGCCAGTGTAGGCTCTATATAGGCCAATCTAGGTCCAATATTAAAAAATCTAGACTGGAAAATCAACCTGGTCTCTCGGTGTGAGCTCTTATAGGACCCATGTTGAGCTAATTTTGAGCATAACTGGGGCCAAGTTAAAATTGTTGGTAGGGAAGTACTATTTTAGGGAAAAAATGTGACAGTTTTAAGTATGTGTTTTGCAATCCATTAAAATTTGGGAGATTCTTAGCTCTATTATGGAGAGTGGGAGATATAGACAGATATAGAATGTCTTTCACAAAATTTAAGAGCCAGCAGTAAAAAGATGTGTAATAAAAAAACATTTAATTTTCAGGAAAAAAAAATTAAAACTAAATTTGTTGTTCACAAAAATGCGAGAAACAAAAAAACACATAGGTTTAAATAAGCTTACTTCATTATCACTCTCATCTGATTTGGGGGCATCAGATAAATCAGGATCAGACAAATCAGGAACCTAGAACATAAGGACATATTCAACAAACAGCACAATACTTCCATTTAAAAATGAAACCCCCCATTAAAATGTTTATTTTAAATAGCGATTTCTGCCAACAACTTATTATTAAATAATTCATTGAAACACAGAAACAAAATATTAAAAATTTAATGCAGCACAAAAAATAAAAATTTAATGCAGCATAAGGGGCATACAATGTCCAATACTTCACATAAACATGATCTCTATTAAAGGATTCCACGTTCATTTTAAATATGTTTTAGAAAAAATGATTGTGAATGTTACTGAAGTACAGTAACTAGATGTCAAACATTTAATCCATGAAAAACACATTGTGGGCATACTGTTAAAAGTAATCAATGCTTCACACTTAAATGTGAGATCTCAATTAAATGATTATACAGTCAGACTTCGATATAAGGTCACCCGGCATATAAGGTCACTTTTCCGAAGTCCTGGCTCACTGAATAGGAATTCTTTGTTACAGATTAGTGGATATATGGTCAAGTTTTAAAAATCGCTATCGCTTATAAGGTCATTTTTATCTGAGGCGAGGGAAGCTCTTTTCTAACAAAAGCCTATTTAACTTCCTTACAAGGCAATTACTCCTCTCGAGTTCTAGGAAAATGTTGCAGCCAACGAGCAAGCTACAATTTCTGAAATTGTTTCACAAGTTGTGGACACTGAGGCCAATGACAGTGGTCCTAAGACTGTAGCTGTAACCTAAGTGGAAGTCTTCAATGCAATAAATGTCAGACGAAATTTTTTTACAAACCATGAGGGAGCTCAGGAACATTTTGAGAAGTTACGAAATCTATAAAACATTGTTAGAAAAATGAGACCAAAGACGAAACAGACCTGCATAAATGATTATTTTATACAAGGTAAGATGTAATGAATGTATGTACACTTTGAGGAAATTTGTAAACAGCTTTATTTCAAATTAAATTTTTTTTTTAAAATCTAACTTTCTTTAATTCTTTACTAATTCTGTTAAAATTTATTGACTTAAATATTTAATTCACGGCTGATCGTTTTCGTTCATATTACCATTTTTAAAAAATCCTAATGTGTACTATTTACGTGGTTAGTTATGAATGAATTGGTTAAAAGGTCACCCCGCCCATAAGGTCACTTTTGCAATGTCCCTTAGGGTAACCTTATATCGAGGTCTGACTGTATATANCACATGCCTTATTTTTAAATTGAGACAATATGAATCCCGATATGAGGCTTTTAAATCACGTGAATATGAAACTCTATATAGAATTTTAAAGTATGCAGAAATACAAATCATGATGCGTAATTTTTAGAGCACGTAAACACCAATCACGATGCATAATTTTCAAACCGCGGAAATACAAATCACAATGTCTAATTTTTAAAGAACGTTTAAATACGAAAATCGATGCTTGATTTTACAACCGCAAAAACGTATCACGACATAGAATTTTAAGCTCGCATGAATACCAATCGCTTAATAGGGTTTTGAAAAGCGTAAATACAAATTACTTTATTGGATTGGATTTCGTATCAATACGAAAATCGATGTTTGATATTACAACCGCAAAAACGAGTCACGACATAGGATTTTAAGCTCGCGTGAATACGAATCGCTACATAGGGTTTTAAAAGCGCGTAAATACAAATCGCTATATTGGATTTTTAAATCTCGTAAATAAGAATCACAATGTACAATATTTAAATCGCCTGAATAAGACTCGCAACGTTCAATTTTTAAATCAGGCAAATACGAAAATCGATGTTTGATAACAAAATAGTGATTTTAAAAATGCATAAATGCAAAACGCGATATTGGATTTTTAAATCTCGTAACTAAGAATCATAATGTGCGATGTTTGAATAGCGTAAATAAGAATCGCATAGCCCAACTTTTAAATCAGGTAAATACGAAATCGATTATTTATATTAAAATCGCGAGAGACTGGACTTGGGATTTCTAAAAGACTTGTTTGTATTGTTTTTGTTTAGACATAATAAATAAAAATTTACAAGATTAAGTGAATGAGAAAGTAAATATTTTCACCCTAAATCCACCTCTATTATTTTTTTTTATTTATTTTATTTTTCGTTTGCTTTCACGCCAGACAACAGGGTCATGACGTTTGAATTGCTAAAATATGAGCTATCCGGCGGACGAATAAAAATACGGAAAATCTTATTTTCTGTGAAGAGAAAATAGCTAAAATAAGTAAAAAAAACGGAAGGGATAGCAGCTAGGATGTAGATTGAATTTTTTGTTTATCTTTGAAAATCGTAAATAAATATGATTATTTTATTTTAACGATTGAATTTTCAAAAAAAAAAAAAAAAAAAAAAAAAAAAAAAAAAAAAAAAAGCGGGATATTTATTTAAAAAAAAAAACGAAACTTTTAGAGAATCCAAGTTTTTGATAAAAAGGCTGAAATTCGAAAGGAAAAAATATCATCTCTGTATAAAGGTCAACCAGTTTTATCCCAAGGAAATNTTTTTTAAAAAAAAAAACGAAACTTTTAGAGAATCCGAGTTTTTGATAAAAAGGCTGAAATTCGAAAGGAAAAAGCGAAAAAATATCATCTCTGTATAAAGGTCAACCAGTTTTATCCCAAGGAAATGACTTTTTGAGAAACTTCAGAGGGAGGAATGAGGACTTCAATGCTTTCGCTCCGCGGAAAATTAAATTTCTCATAAAATATTTTAACTTGTTAAAAAAAATTTCTGTGGAAATTAGCGGGAAAAATCTAAAAAAAAGCGGAAATCCGCGGAAGAATCTCATCCCTGGCTTTCATGCAGAATTTACTTTTTTATCCAGATAAGTTCAATTTTAATTAGAATCCATCTGATTTTTAATGCAGTCTATTTGAATTCTTTTTTTTTGTATAGTGATCATACCATTCTAATTTTAATTAAGCACTTATTAAGGAAAAAGATTTAAGAAAAAAACAAACTATTAGCAAATAGCAGAAGTTCTACTATATCATGTACAAAAGACAAGTGCACACTTTTTCCATACACAGCATATAGTTATTTTTTTTCATGTCATGTGATCCATAATATCCAGACTTCCTTGTTAGGGTTGAGAAGTAAACCACAAGACCAGATGAGATGTCATATGGTTACAATCAATTTATTAAATTGATTATATCGATTTATTAAATTGAATAGAATTTCGGCTTCATAAAGACATTTTGCTGCAGGTCATGGATTCATTTTATAAATAAAGACTATATTTCTAACTAATTAATAATAATATATATGTGAAAAAGAGATTATTTAAAAATTTCACCTGTTTGAAGAGCTGGTCTACTATCAAAATATAATTCTTTTTAGGTTTAGTTTTAAGATTCCTTTAATTTCACTTAGCCATTATTTTAGATCAGGGTGCTTAGACAAATTATTCTACAAAAAATAAGCACCTTTTAAGTACTTTTCAAGCACTTAAGATATTTTTAAGCACTTTAAAAAAATATAATTAGACAGGGTTGGAAAGTTTTTGATAACTGACGGTTTTATTTTGCTTTAACTGTCATGTCAAAAAAAAAACTTTTGGCATTGTTTCTGACAATTGTCAAAAATCATGAAATTTTAAATCATATAAAATGAAGGGCTTTTTCATGCGCTACGGACTGACAATACGCTGAAATAGATTGGGGTTGAATTAATTGTGAAAGCGTTGAATAGAACAATGTGAACTGTGTTCTTTTGCATAATTTATAGCGAAAATCAACAAAATCTCATATTGAAAAAGGGAAAATTAAGCACTTTTTAAAAACATAGAAATAAAAAAGCACCTTAAGGGCTTTTAAAAAACGAAATCGAAAATAAGCACTTTTTAAAAACACTAGGCACCCTGTAGATGTTACAGATATGCACACACAATGGAACCCAGATTTTCCGTTAGACTAGTCTTAAAAGATGTAGGAAGCTGGTTAATGTAATATCAGGTAAAAAAATTTGAGCATATTTTTCAAAAATTTAAACTTACAAGACTAACCACTCTAAAAAAAATTTGTAATCTTGATGAGTTTCCCCCCCCCCTTTTTTTAAAAGATACAATATTAAAAAAATTTCTATCAATGCTTACCATTGTTTGCAAACTTGTTTTATGGTTTACGTTCACAAATGTTTCAGAGTTTTCATGCTTTAAACTTTTAATCAGTTGTGGGTATATCCTCTGATTTTCATCATCATCATCATACTTAAATAATGCTATAGTAAATGAAATAGCTTAGTATAGCTGAAATACCATCCTTAAATATCCCAAGATTACGCTTTGAGTGGTTACCATAGTTTAAAAGACGAAAACAAGAACTAAATTCCCTATATTTTTCCAGTTCACCAAGAAAGAATCAAAATTCCCTACATTTTCCTTTTATTTCAGGTGAGTTTTAAATTCCCCATATTTTTCACAGTGGAGTGGCAGCAGATTACTTAAAATACAGAACAATCTAAAATGAATAGTTAATTTTTTCCCCCTTTAAAGTACTAATCACTCACCTCAGTATCATCTTCTGAGTCTTGAGCTTCCTCAAGATCTGGTACATCCTGAAAAAATACTTATGCATGAAATTATCAGCATTAAATAATAATTAAGTGTAATTTTTCATAATTTGTAGTTAAGACATTCACTGAAGAATCAAAAGAAACATTGATTACCTCAATTTCAGTAGAATTATTTTTAAATCCATTTTCCAAAGAATTCTTGAAATTAAGTCTGGAAAAAATTGCAATAAAAATGATAAAATATCATACTGCTAAATATGCACATTTTTTTAAGTTTTAAATTGAGCTTTGTAATCAAAGGGAAAAATTGCTCCTTGAATTCTACGGACTTTAAAAATATTTAAATATCGGGGTTCTACACTTTACAATTACATAACTGAACATTTTTTTATGAATTTTTTAAATGTGACTCAGCGGTAGTAGCGGAAACAGTTATTAAGAATACTTATTTATTATTTAATATACTGAAATGACAACGAAATTTTGCGTAATAGCAATAAATAATACAAATAACATTACAAAAAAAGAGAAAAAAATTGACTTGTAATTTGTTTCTAAATGTCATCATTTATTAAACTATTAATTTATTAAATTACTTTCAAAACCAATCTTAATATTTATTATTTTCAAATTATTAAGTTTCAGAGGAATATACAAGAGAGAAGGCACGTTTTAAAAGCTGAAAAATAAATTAAAAATGTGTTTATCTACAAACTAAATGAAGATATTGTACAGAGCACAGGGATGCATTACGGCTGGAGATGAATTAAAACAAATTGGATACAAAATTGTGAGAATATGAATCACAATGTGCAATTTTTTAAATTGCGCAAATCTGTATCCCCTTTCATTTTAATTCACATAAAGACGAGTAATGTGCTATTTAAATCCAGATGAGCATGAATCCAGTTTGATTTTAAAACTGCACGAATGTATGATTTTTAAATCGCATGAATATGAATTGCACCATTCGATTTTAGAATTACACCGATACACAATGTGTTACACTCATCCCTCCTTAATTGCATATCGGATAATTGAAAAACCCGCTTATACGAATAAAATTTGGGTGTTAAGGGTGAAGTTGAAAAATTAATCAAATCTTCCAGCTAATTATTATACATTGAAATAAACGAAGGGGTTCTTACCTGTCTTAGACTTTTCTCACACATAATTTAGAATGTAAAAAAAGGTACAGAGTGATATTTTTCAGGGATGAGAATGGCTAAAAGGCGAAAACTGAATTTCCACACAATTCAATTTTACGCACGTGCAATCGTTTAATAAAAAAAATTCCAGACAATTTAAGATAATAAATAACAATGTGAGGACATAAAAATTTGTACTAATTTTGTACTAATTACATCAATACTTAACATTTAGTAAAAGGTAAAATTGCCAATTGAAAAAATAAAGCTAGAAAATTATATTTTTCTTCAGTTCACATTAGAACTATTACTTGAGAAACTGCCCAGTTTAGCAAATTAAAATTACTGAGAACATACATTAATATTCCATTTCTTTTAATAAATATTGTTACGTGATTTATAGTAAATATATCAGTAACATGACTTTTTAAATTATTTAGAAAATAAAATAAACTTTTACAATTCAATCACTATGTTCATATTATAATCTAATCTATCTAGAGCTCTGTGAAACATATCAATAACTGTGAAGTAGAAATATATGGTAATTCATTAACATACAAAAATTGCTATTTTTTCGCAAAAATGTTGAATTTAAGATCGAACATTGCACTCCCCTTTAAACCGTATAACCCGCTTCATCCCATAGATTTAGCTGCAACAGATGGTATTCCTTTAAGCAGGGTTGACTGCATTAGTAAATAAATTACAGTTGATGTAGGAACTCTGAGATTGGGGCTCGCGATTTAAGATTAAACTCAGATGTGCAATTTGCAAATCAGGTAAATATGATAGCTAAAAAACAGGACAAATAAACACAAAATATTTTTTATCAGGATTATCGAGATAATTACGATACCTGAATATTAGCATTATTTGCCGTTCAGTCATGTAACACATTTGATTCCTTAGCTTGAAATAAAAGTTATAAATCTAAACTAGGGTCATTATCCCAATGAAAATTTAAACTATGACAGTTAAATAATTTTTTATGCCATTCATTATGAAATATTTGATACGTAATAGCACTTTCAGCAGATTCAGACCGCAAAATTGCACATCAGTAAAATTCTAAAAACTAGTTACATAAAATTATAACTAAAAAGTAACTGAAATTATACTTACTTTATTTCTCCCGTTGAGAGAGAATCATCTTTTTCAACATCTAGAAATATATGAAAAATTCAAAATTTTTATAGCAGGTAAGTAAGAATTAAAAATGATGTGCTATAATTTGTTTTCAGAAGAAAAAAAAAGCATAACAGAAGAACACTGGTTAGCAGATGTAGTACAAATAAATGACAAAATTTCCAAAAATTACGAAAAAAAAAATCTCTATATTACATTTAAAACATATAAAAGTTGTCATCGCCTTATTATGATCAATGGTTACCCATTGGTCAAATGCTTTTTCTTTCTGGATTGACTCCGTTAAACGCCACATTTCAAATCATGGGTTGCAAAAACTGTTTTAATGGATGTTTGTCGTTGGATTGATTTTCCTATACTGCCTTTGTACATGCTTCAAGAAGCCACAAAATAGTTTTCCTTCCTCAGTATTCATATTTATTATTGAAATCACCGTCAAACCAGTAAATATACGTTAGTAATAAAAAGAATATATAAAAATACTTTAAATCATTATTATTTAAATACATTGAAAATGCCTGCTAGTGAAAAGAAAAACAGCAGCGGTCGGTGTAGCAACGCATACGCACTGCATACTATTAATCTTGAACACAGTTGAAAAGTGTGTGGATGCCATCAAATCCAAACCAAGATCCATTTTGTTAATGGGTATAAAAAAAAATTAAAAAAAAAAAGATTTTAATAATACAAACCTCAAAATCTGAGATTTTGCATTTTATAGATCTTTTCACTTATGTTTAAATTTACGAACTAAACACGGCAAAATAAGTCTGGAATGTATCAATCTTAAAATGCTTTAAAATAATTTTTATAAACAAAATACTTAAAAACACAAAATATCTACTCAAGTATTTATTATTTACAGAAGAAAAATTTACATTTTCTGCATCATAAAAAATAATAACAAGCAAATTTATTATCATTTTAAACTCTCATTAAATAATTAAACAAATAATGTAAAAAGTTAATACAGTAAACTCTCGCTATTACGATATCCCATACAACAATAACTCAATCGATTATGATAATGCTTTGTGGTCCCAAATCGAAAATAAACACCTTAAAGCACTTTTTAAAAACACTACGCAAATTTAACATTACGCTATTTTAAAATTATGTGTGTTGCCATTTTTTCAACAACATTTAAATTTTTTTTAATGTAGGATATAAAAAAAATCAATTAATTATAAAATGAAGAGTTAGTACAACTATAGGTCTCTTTTAAAACTCCAGAACCGTTTGTGCTGGTGTTTTGGAATGCGGACAGCTGCTGCAAGCAAGGATCGCCAAAATGGGCTGTTTAATACCACTTAAACATAAAATTGCATATTTATTTAAAACAACAATCTGCTTTTATGTACAGTTTCATAAACAGTTTATGAACAATTTCACATAATAGCAGTGAACAATTTCATCTGCTATTATGAACAGCTGAGAGTTTTACTTTATCAATAATCCATTGATAGACAGGTTAGGTTTAGAGTAACAAAACAAATTAAAACTTTCCTGTTCACCATTTTTTTAAAATATATTTTTCATTTCCACACATTTTTATTCAGGGTTCATACTTACTTAGTTCTAAACTGCAAAGTTCCATAAAAACTCGCTCTAAACTTTTTAATAGAGAAATGTTGTCATTCATTGTGCCTGTCAAAATAAAATTTATATATATATGTAAATGTATATATATATACATATATATATATATATACATATATATATACGTAGGAAACTGACATCCTTTGTAATTTAAACTAAACGCATTCATAGCTAATTTTGTAGTGTTTTTTTTAACGATATATCTTATAAATTTGAATTAGTCCACCTGCTACACTATAAAAAGTGGATGCTCAAATTCCACTAAATTTTCTTCGTTTTTGACTAAATCGTTTACTGGTATATGATCCTAGCAAAAATTTCGTAAAATTTCATCAAAAATTTCATCAAAATTAAAGAAGTGTTTCGTCATTCTTTTTTTTCCCCAAACAAATAAAAATCTCATAGCTCCTAATGTATTTGAACTTTTCCATTAACCATTGTAACGCGGACACCATGCACGTGAACTTTTTTTAATAAACTATTTTTAAATGAAATTTAATGTTTTGTTCATGCGAAAGCATTTTCATATTTTTAATTTACTTCTCTGCATTCTTTCCCCTTTCCAATTTGCTTACATAGAGAACAGAAAAATCACAGATGATGCAGTTAAAATTATATTTCAATGATTATAAGATTCGTGGAATTAACTTTTAAATTATGTAACAATAGTAATTAAATTTAAATATATGAATAGTTTAAATTAAATTTCAAATAATTTAACAGTAGTAACTTGATTTGAAAAAAATTAACAGAATTCGTTTGATTTTTTATTGCATTAAANCGCGTAGGGCCCCCGCGAGCGCGCAGAAGTGCAGCAACACGACGCGGCATGGATTCGATCAATGTGTGAAGTATGCTGGAGATAATTGACACCATGAATCCTGCAGGGCTGTCCATAAACCAGTGGGAGTAAGAGGGGGTGGGGATATCTTCTGAACATCACGTTGCAAGGCATCCCAAATATCCCAGCGATGTCGTAGATTTGAAGTTTTACCGGATTTCTGATACTCACGGTATACTCGTGAAAAGGTGGTACGTGAAAATCACAATTTCATTGCTATCTCGGAGATGCTTTGTCTTCTCTCCCGTGCACCGACTATAACACCACGTTCAAACTCACTTAAATCTGTATAACCTGGCATTGTAGACACTCGTTGTCTTACATACGCGTTGCCGATTGCAGCTGTGTACTTTGATTGGCTCCATACCCCTTTATTTGCATACTCATGCCTGTACCAGTTTTTTTGGCTGTTCAGTATATATATATATATGTATATATATACATGCATGCATGTTGATCAGGAGTTGAACAAAATAATGGAAACACTTCAATACTAACACATTGGTCTTTTTCAAAAATTACTTAGATAATTTTTTTAATAAATTTGACTTGTTTAGGTCATGCGATTTCTCACACTTGTCAATGAAGTTTAAAGCTCTTAGAGGATAAAGGGACTGATAATAAATTACAAACGAAAAATAGCGCTTGTGAAAAAAAAAAAATTCTAATAAATTTTGGAAATCTAGCTTAAATATTTATGAAAATCTGAACATTTTAATAAAAAAACGAATTATTTTTGTCTTGCGTTTTTTTGCTATAACTTTAAAAATATTCAATAAAATAAAATATAATCAATTGCTTTCAAATTTGAGAGAAATTTGCTTAAAACTGAGCAAGATATGAGTAATTAAAGTAGTTCTGTAACAGAACTCCTTTAGAATTGCCACCACACCATCTAGAGGCGAGAACAGTAACAAATGAGCTGAATTATAGCAACCGAAAGGAGAACATCTCCGAAATAGTATCTCTGTTTTAGTGTTAAGTGAGGTTTGTCGTTAATTTGTTCTTGTTATTTGTAACTGTTTTCTGTGCTCTGCTATTGAACATAAATAATTTCAGAGCTAGCCCGGTGTTTTTATTTTCTTGGAAAATGGTTACAGTTCTTCTATACTGCTTACGCGCAGGAAAATTTTAAAAGTTTTTTCTTTTCTTTCTGAAGTATTTGGCTACTGATAAAAAAAAATTGCAATTTGAAACCCTTGAAAATTGAAAAAGTTAAAAGCAATTTCTTAAGTAGTTTATATATTTTTTTAAAAGAAAGCTCAAAATGATAAGGGGCTTTTCATAAATTTCATTTTGCACTAATAAACAAGATTTATTAAAATTGACACTGGCATTGTTGGTGATCAATAGGGCTGCAAGTTTGTTGTGGGAAAAAGGACCCAAAATTCGCGGATATTGCGATAATTACGTCGTTTAAGTCGGCTCGTCGTTTACAAAAAAAACTCGCTCTAATATGGCGTAAGCGACCATTTAGGCTTACCATACCGCACTATCTGACCAAGCACGTGCTACCTATTCGCATATGTGGAATTAACCAGGGATTTATCGTTTCTTACGGGTATACAAAAACAAAATTTTAAGAGGCGGGGAACATAATCTTGAAAACATTTTGCGAAATTCCTAAAGCTGAATTTGTGAAGGTACTGTTAAACGGTAGTAAATTTGCCCTAGACAGACCACTGGTGTAAAGAAGTTAGGGTAACTGTCTTTTAACCCCTTCCATCTCGCTCCCGTGATATTTCTGGGCTGGAGTGTTCAGTAGTAACGCTGCAATAAGAATAAAACTAATTCATTTCTGTCTCCCAGAAAACAGTTTATTTCTCATTTTACACACCAGATGGCAGTACCAGGATATTTTTAAGAAACGGCAACCATCAAGAGAATGCAAAGTTTGTTGTTACGGAAGATATGAAAATAATAAGAGGAATTGAGGAAGGAAACTCGCAGGGCCGGCCCTAGACATTTTGGCGCTCTCGGGCAAAACCTTAACTTTGCGCCCCCCCCCCCCCTTTTNCCCCGTTTTTTTTAAGTAAAAAAAACAAAACGGGGTTCTTTGTCAATTCTCGAAAGGCGGTGGTTGAGTGGTTTTGTCATGTTAAATTAAACTAGATTTTGCCTTAATGTTTAAATATATTATATTATTTGAATTATGTGCTTAGAAATAAAAATGATAAATTCCGCCTGCCTCCTCTCAATCTTGTCAACTATCATTTTGGCGCCCCTAGATCAATGCGCTCCGGGCAGCCGCCCGGAGCGACATTAAGTCATAGTAAGCCTGAATGTAGGCTCTTCCAAAAATTTTAAAATTTCAAGCTAAAAACAAATCAAAAATTATATATATATTGTTCCTACACATATTTTTATATAATTTTCAGGGATAAAAAAAATAGGCACTTATATGACCGTTTTCTTGAAAATTAACTGATCGCTAAGGGGTTATAAAAAGTTACAAAAAATTTTGGGGAACAGAAAGGCAGAGTAACTATGAGATTCTGGTAGCTATAGATTACTGTTGTCGGTTACTGAACTTAGCTGCGACATTTACAGTTCAGTCTTCATGATCAATCGCCCCAGAATCTAGCTGTAAGTGATTGAAAGGGAGAGTGACAGAACAAACATATGAATACAGACTGCTGGTACATTAAATAAAACTTCTCTCTTCAAATTCAAAAGCTACAAGCACAAATATTTCCCTGAATTGTCCCATTGACTAGTATGTGATCGTGAATTTCCGCTAATCTATTGACGGTATGCTATTTACAGTATTGACTGATTTATTTTTTTTTACGAAATTGTTTTATGAAACATATGTGCATTATAAGTTTATACTTACTTGGTTCTAAACTGCAAACAAACCTTAAAAATTCTTCAAAATCATTTAGTAGAGTGACATTCTCATTCAATGTTCCTGTCAAAATAAAATTATATATATAATATTAAAAGAAGTATATATTGAATATAATCCTAAAAATAGAGCTCGCAGGGTTGCCACAGAAAAAAAAATGAACAAAATAGTTGCTTTTAGTAGCCTAACACATGAAAATAGTAGCCAAAAACTAAGAAAATAGTTGTCTAAATAAGAACAAAAATTCATCAAAAATATGACTAAAATTTTGTTAACGACTTATTGTTATATACCACGATCCATTCAGTCAAGCTGATTACAAATATGATAATTTATTTATATACTGTAAAATCTCCGTTTAGCGGACATTTTAGGGACTGAAAAAATTGTCCGTTTAGGAGAGTTGTCTGCTTACGGGAAGGGTACCCAAATAATGAAGTTTAACGCAGTTAATTGTTTTTAGAATATTTTCAAAGATGTAGATATAATTAAATAATTTACAATAAGTACAAATAAATATCAACAAGGATATTTATTTAAACTTTAAGAAATATAAAAAAGAATATATAAAGAAGTTAGGTATAAATACATAATTCTAGATGTAGCTATTGATAAATTAATATAATTTTCCTATTAGCATAGATACTCAAGTCAGACATATGATACTGAATAGGAGCATTCAGTCCTCAGTCGGTTTCAATTATTAGGTTTACATCCCCTTATACTTACCTATCATTTGATAAGGAACATGATTAATACCTTCTTGAAAGTTAACCTCCCATGATTAACAGTCATTCACTGTTCAGTCTACGGAGTTGATTATTCACAATTGAACAGCTATCAAGTGTCTGAATAAGTGTTTCATTTATATGAACACATCAAACATTATATTTCTGTTCTCTTTTTTACTCCAACTGTGTTAAATACAGTCTTCAAATTGGTAAGAAAATTAAAGAAATTTTCAATGGGGAAGAACCATTGAGAGAATTTAAGATGTCATTTCAACTCCAGGAGTCTCATAACCTGTGTGGTCCAGATGAAAATATGCCGCTGTCCTAATTATTTCAGGAGAATTATTTCAGTATCATTTTCTCTCCTTTTTTTACAAGGATATAGCAAAGTGACAAGAGAAAGATTGATTCTTTAGTAGTGAAATAGCTTCACAATATTTTTAGTTATGGATAAAGCAAAAAATAAACCTGTTTCAAAAATGGCTAAAAGTTGTATTTTTTTTCCTTGCAATTTATAGCAGATATAGTTTTTTTCTTTAATTTAGAAAAAGTAGTGTCCAGTTTGAAGAGAGAGAAAATAACGTTTCAGGGCCAAAATGACCGTCCGCGTCCGGTTACGGGAGTGTCCACTTTGCGGAGAATGTACATAATGGTTTATTCATAGAAGATTACGGGGGAATTAAAAATATGTCCGTACTGAGAGGCGTCCGTTTTGCAGGATTGTCCATAAGAGGTTTCACTGTATATANACTATATATATATATATATATATACACACACATGAAAAGTGATTACTCAAATTCAAAATTCATGCACTGTAATATCGTATAAAAACTTATCATTATTTTTTTTTTAAAAAAATCATACGGAATTTCGCAGCAATAGTCATTCAAAAGGCGATAGAGAAATGAAATAGACCTACAATGGAGTCTGTGCAGATTGAACAAATTAAAAAGTGAAGACTCAAATTTGCAATTCAAAATTTTCACAATTTTCTATTTTTTAAGAAAAAAAAAGTTCAGTGTGTTCAGAAACTATCTTGTGGGGCGCAGATTTTCCACCCAATTTATGTTTAGAAAGAAAAAAAAAACATTGATAGGAGTTCAGAAAAGTCTCCTGTTCCTGAAAATAGTCGCCTTTTTTTAGCCTTTTCAGGCAAAAAAAAAAAGCCGTCATAGTCGCTTCATGCCAAAAATAGTTGCAAACAGTTGCATTTTAGCCGCCTGTGGCAACCCTGAGCTTGTATCTAACACACAATCACTTAAAACCTTTCCCACAAAGAAAGTCCTTAAGGTTTAACTTTGTAAAAAACAGGACTGGAGGATTTAAAAAAAAACATTACAGCTCTAATAATGAGTATTACACATAGAGTTAGAAATGCAAATAATTATTCAATACCAAATCTAACAAATTATGAAATTTCATAGATTTACCATTGATTTTATCTTTGTAGTTTGTTGACAACCCTCTAGAAATCTCTAACACCCTTTAAAGCCCATTTTTATTGGATAGCCCCTAATTGAGAATCTATGCCACAGTTAAACAGAAAGCGGTAAAAAAAATTTTATAGTAAGATTTTATTATCGAAGACACAAATAAGAGTCCATAAATAAAGTGGTAAAAATATAAAGACAATAAAATGAGGAAGAACTATTTCACATCTAAGAAAATTTTGTTTCACAAATAGTTCAGACAACAAAGTTTTTTCTTAAATTTTACTTTTTATTAAATCTTTCAAATTATATTTTTCATCCTTTTATAACATACAATGGTTTGCACTCTCTATTAGCATATGTGTTATTAAAAAGGTATTGAATAACATGAAATCTTACCATTTTCTAATATTTTTTCTAGTTCAAGAGTACCTTGATATTTTATTTTATCAAATTGACATTTTTTCATGCAATACTGTAGCAAATTTATACACTCTAGAACTGAATTTTCCTGAATAAGGCAAACACACATGTTACCATAAGCCTAGAAGGAAAGAAAAAGAGAAAGTTAATTTAAACAAGATAGTAAAAAAATGCACATTTTCAAAATATTTAAAAAAAAAAAGTATTGAAATGCGCAACAAGTACAGAAATGTATTGAAGGTGGTTGTCTTCGGCAGACGATTCTCTCATTATCCGCCCCAAATTAATATTCCGCGTTCAGCAGTATAGACTAAATACCAAATATTTGTATGTTGCATCTCTAATTTAGAAGCAGCAATTACTGTTTATTTTTGAAAATGTAATTTTTTTAAATTATAATTTTACAGTGCTGAGCATAATCTTGTATCTATTTACAATTTAAAAACTCCTTGAAAAAGTTTTTTGCAATAACCGGACCCTATTTGCACAAATTCATAACAGCAGGACCCTGGTTGAAAGAATGTGAGTAATTTTCTCACAATTTCACAAAAACCGGACCTTTCACAAAATGTCTGGACAGACTCCTGTTTACAAAAAGCGAAGAAAGAAATAATTTGTGCGTTCCCCCCAACAAAATGCGAGAAATCACCCATAATATAAGATTTTGTTATGTGCTGAATAAAAAATTGTTACTTGCTCAATAAAAAAATTATACAGTTCTTTTTTTTTTGTTAACACAGCGCTTTTATTATTTTAAATGAGTAACATATATGTTTGTTATTATTAAAAGTATCTTGCAGAACGATATTAGTTCTAGAGAGTTTTGTCGCAGATAGCTCGAAAAAATTCTGCCACAGGAGAATTGTTTAGGTACATTAAAATAAATTATGCATCCATATTTCAATCTGAAGATTTCGTTTATTTCGCATGGTATAAGATTAGACATTTGAGTGCTAAAATTTATCACCTCAGTCCAAAATTTTTATGGTAATTCACTTTCATGTAATTATGCCCTAGCCCTATCTACTAATACTCTTATGGCTCACTCAGCACATCCATTTGCAAAGGATTATAATTTTTTTTTTCAAGTAGGGTCCCGTATTTTTCTAGAAAACTATCAATCTTGTTATTTTAACCCACTATCTGTTCTGAATCATACGATTTTCTTATCAAATGCATTTTCATATCTTTCTTTAAATTTACAAAACATTTCAAATACTTCCATTTTATGCTTAAAAAAATAAGAAAAGTACAAAGAAAAATCATCTACTAGAACTGAAAAATATCTTGAATTGCCTTATGAATCATTTCATTTCTTTCATTTCAAAATTATTTACTTTGTTACTTGCATGCAGGGGTCTGTCCAGTTTTTTTTTGTGAAAATTTAGACATAATTTGTGAAAATTAAAAACTATATTAAAAAATCATCACAAAAATATGGTAAAGTAAAGAAGATATTTTCAAAAATTGTCACTACAAATAAAAATCATTTGTGACTTTTAAATTTCTATACATCTTTCCCTTATATATTCAAAAAAAATTTTGCTATTGTAAAATTTTGGGCTAAAAATTGTATGCAAATTTCGAAATCCATAAAAATCATTGTCCATGGTTATATTGCAATTTGAAGTTAATAAAAACTAGTACTAAAATTTTTTTTATAATTTTGAGAACATTTTCAACTGGGTCTTACAGAAAAAAGCCTCACCGAGAAAAAAAAATTGTTCACAAAAAAATAAAGGCCGGTAAGAATAAATTTACAATTGTGTTTAAGATAATGATCGAATTTCGACTTCCAGAAAAGTTTATAGAGGGAGAGACTCGTCCTTTCATTTGAAACAAACTCAAAGGGGGAAAAAAACCTGCTTAGATATGGCGTAAGTGACGGGTTAGGCTTACCACATTGCTTACCACCAAACACTAGCTACATTTTCATAAGAGACCATCTGGCAAAGAAGCTCCTCTTTTACCAAGATTGCATAAGATTTTCTTTATTTGTGAAGCTACCGTTTTTCCTGAAGTTGAATTTGCAAAGGTACCGCTTACCGGTAGTCAGCAAGATAACGATCCAAAACATTAATCGAAATTGTGTAGAAACTACATTGCATCAAAAGAAAAGAAAAAAGTACTGAAATACATGGATTGGCCCCCTCAATCACCTGATATTAATCCTATTGAGCTATTGTGGGATGAACTCGATAGAAATGTTACAAAAATGAGATGTACCAATCAAAACAAGCTTTGGGAATCTTTACTTAGTTGCTGGAACCAGATATCAGCTAGAACATTACAAAAACTAATGGAAAGAATGCCAAAAATATGTGCTGCTGTGATAAAGACTAAAGGAGGATATTTCGAAGAATCCAAGATTGGACGGAATTCATAAGTTATGCATAAAATTATAGTTCTTACCATATAAGCGTACCTACATTTCTCAAAAAAAGTTGATTTAATGTAATTTTCAGTTTAAAAGAAGTCATTTTTAATTGTTATTTGTCTATTTTTAAAAATTCAAGAGTGAGTCTAAACTTTTGACTGGTAGTGTATGTATATATATATATATTAACACAATGAATCAANTTTAAAAGAAGTCATTTTTAATTGTTATTTGTCTATTTTTAAAAATTCAAGAGTGAGTCTAAACTTTTGACTGGTAGTGTATATATATATATATATATATTAACACAATGAATCAAATGTAGATTATCATGTCCTCTTTTTGCAGATTATACACACGCAATTTGCCATCGTTGTCAGACCACCCTATAGTTCGTCTTTGGTAAGACCCTCCCCACGCCACAAAGTCTGCGGCAGTCCGCTGCTATGGAAACAAGAATAGCGCATTTCAGGGAGGGTAGCTTCTCTTCACTCTAGGGCTAACACAATAGACAGAAGAAAAATATTCCTTTTCTTTCGCCGAACCGAGCCTAAACAATGATCCCACACCCCTGCTGGAAATAGTCATACCTCGTTACCACAGTCACCGCCAAGGGCCCAGACGAATGGGTGGGGAAGTTCTTGCTTTAGCCAAACTATATTCTGCTGATAATCAGAAGTTAGAAGTAAGCCAAACTATATTCTGCTGATAATCAGAAGTTAGAAGTAAAAAATACTTACCGTAAAGTGCTGTGGATTGATAATTGTAGAAATATAACTATCTAATAAAGCTTTTTTATATTCCTTCATTCGAATATATATTATTCCTCGTACAGCAAATGTTTCATAGCAATATGGGCTGAAATAAGAAATAGCACAGATTTAGTTTAAAACTAAAACAATGTTTACAAAAAAAGAAAAGGGGAAAAAATTACTTGTAATTTAAAGCAGATGTTACTGCTTCGAGGGATTCTTCATAATTTCTTTTTAGTCCTGCCTCTTTAGCTATTTCAAGCCACCTATTACTTTCCATCTACAATTAAGAATTATATTAGAATAATAGAGAGATTAATAATAAGAATGTGAAATGTATGATTTTTTTTCATTTTTGAGAAGTAGAAACGTCTACTTTTATCGAAATTTACAGTGAAAACACATATTTGATATCACAGGGCTGAGAGTAGTCAGAAAGTAAAAAAGAGGAAATCCAAAAATGAATATATATATATACATATACACCCTCGTGCAAATTAATTGTAACAAACTTTTTTTTTGTGTTTTTTAAAGAAGATGTTTTGGGGTTGTTTCAGTTACAATGGGGTTGAACCTTTGCAGCCTATTGCCGGTATGATGTGTTCTGAGCAGTACATTACTATTCTGGGTAAAAAAGTTGTTCCATAGTTGAAGAAACGATACCTTGATGGAACAGGGATTTTTCAACAGGATTTAGCTCCTTGCCATACGTCCAAAATTGTCAAGAAATTCATGTCTGAGAATCAAATTGAGACATTGGAATGGCCAGGGAACTCTCCGGATATCAACCCAATTGAGAATCTCTGGGCCATATGCAAGAATCGCCTATTAAATATGGACTGTACAACTATGGAGAAGCTAATCACGGCGTTAATTCATGTGTGGTACAAGGACACAAATATTATAAATGACTGTAAAAAATTAGTGGAATCCATGCCGAATCGTGTCCAAATGTTAATAAAGTGTCGTGGAGATCATATTATGTACTAAAAATTTTTGAGTTTGTATAAATTTAAATAAAATAGCATTTTCTCTTAGTTTTCTGAATTTATTGAGTTTGTTTCAATTAATTTGCACAGGGGTGTACATATATATGTAACATAAAAAGCTTCTATTAATCTTATTATGTTAGTTTCTTTGTTATAAAACAACTCCTAATTTATTACTAATTAATTATTCAAATCGAAATGCTTTCTCACACTTTGAAAAGCCACATCCTGTTTCTAAATCTATTTTTGGCCTAACTATGCATAAACTTACTTAAAGACATTTTTCTTTTAATCTACGTGGGAATCACTCGAGCAACCTCATTAACCAATAGTAATTTCTGAGATTTGCCTCTTTTCCCTAAATAGAGACATTTTAGGATTATTTGCAAGATTTTCCCTACCAGAAAGACTGATCGCCCAAGGAGTAAACTACACTTTTCGTTCTCCACTCAATAAAGAATGACATAATAAAATTTACTGTGCTTTCATTAAAATCCTGTGTCTGTTTTCCTGCTCGGTCCGACTGCATCATCTTACATATATACATATATATATATACAAACATATATATGTAGAAGCAATGATATTCAAAAATTTGACAAAAAAAAGTGTGATTTTTAAACCATGTGATTATAAATCCCGATGATTAATTTTAAAATTGTATGAATATGAATCGCGTGCCTGATTTTAAAATCGTGTGAATAAATACTGCAATATTTGATTATAAATTTAGAGAATATGGATCCTGATATGTGGCTTTTAAATCATGTGAATATGAAACTCATGTGAATTGAATTTCAAACATGTGAAAATACAAATCATGTGTAATTTTTAAATAGTGTGAATACGAATCCCAATGTCTAATTTTTAAATCACGTTTAAATACGAAAATCTATATTTAATATTACAACCGCCTAAACGAATCACGGCATTGTATTTTAAATTAGCAGAAATAAGAATTATTACAAAGAGTTTTAAAAAGGCGTCAATACAAATTGCGATATTGGACTTTTAAATCTCGTAAATAAGAATAGCAATGTACTATATTTAAATCACGTGATAAAAAGGCTGAAATTCGAGAGACAAAAGTGAAACTCGGCTAAAAAGGGGAAAAATCTCATCCCTGATATTAAAACCTAAAGCAAATACAAGGTTGCCACTCAAAGCTAAAAATATTAAATAAACTGTTTTCCCTGTACATATTATACACAATATATTAAGAGGAAAAACATAATTGTGCTCTTGTTTGAGCTGTATTGGGCTGACTATATTTAACTAATTACTGGTAAAGCGTAGAGAAAAAAAAAGGAACAGCTGAACATAGTTAAATAATGCTTTAGTCAGTACAGAATTCCCACTGAATTTCAGAAACAAAATTCCATGACTTTTCCAGGTATATCAGATAAATTTCAATAAAACTCCATTCCAAATTTTATCTATACCATGCAATTTTCAATTAAAATACTTTGAATTGTAATGCCAAATATTAGATTTTGTGAACAAAACCATACTGTAGAATGGAGAAGTTTCACCAAAAAGTGGAATTTTATAAAATAATTAAATTAGATGCTAGAATTATTTAACTCGAACTTCAATAACTAATTACAGTAGAGCGCCGATTATCCGAACCCTTATTATCCGAACTATGTCTGATTTCATTTTTTTTTTAAGTTTAGAATACTTTTTAGCCTATCGACAATTTTTCTAAATCAAGAAGAATAAATAATATCCCCTACATCTGAAGACCATATTTAATTTACAACCTTTTTAGCAGTTTTCTTATAGTAGCCATACATACATGTATTGTGATACAGTTAAACCTGCATACCCCTTTACAAAAGAAAATTATCTTCCAAGAATGTAACCTTCATTTTGATAGTCTAGAATGGTTGGAATGCAGAAGGAGTTCATGAATAGATAAGTGCTGAAGTTCTATAATTGGGGAATGGGTAGTTGACACTTATGGTTAATGATTACAGTGCTTGGAATCTTAAATCTTGGAATAAAATTCTTAACAGAAAAACAAACGAAACTGAAGTTTCTGAGCCCATAGATTTTTCGGATGAAAATGATGAAATTGTTACTGAAATTTTGAATGAAAATCGGAACTCCACAGACGAAGAGGAAGAAGTAGGTGATCAAGTTCAAGATAGCGGACCTTCTCATATAGAAGTGCAGTTCATTAGATTTTGCAATGAATTGGCTAGAACGTCAAAATGATGTCGATCCAGTTCAGTTGATTTATTTCAAAAGAATAAGGGATATATGGCTGCTAAATAAACGCGTCTTCTTTGAAACGATATCTTTGCTGGATTTCTTTTGCAATGGAAAATAATGAAAAATGTGGTAAAATCCGTAATTGACAACAAAAAAAAAGGTATAAGAAATTGAAATATGATAAAAATAATTCAAAATAAAAAAAAAGCAATAAAAAATTTTTTTATTGAAAATATTTAAAAATTGAAAAAAGAAAAAAAAACTTAAACCCGCCAGAGCTATTTTAGACAGTACTGCCAGTCCTAAGTCTACAAAAGGTGCGATGGGAAGTTAATGCATAAATAATAATAATTTAATCTAGATTTTAAACAACTTTCCAATTATCCGAACCATGTTCAGTCCCGAGCAGTTCGGATAATCGGCGCTCTACTGTACTGACAATTCTAAGACTGGTTATTTTTCAAGTATGATACAGGAATTTTCCATGTTTTTTGCATAAAATTCCAATTTTCAATGACTATTCCCTGGTTTTTAGAGTGAAAAAAAAATCCTAGACTATGATAGGTTTTCCTTGTTCTCCCTGACCTGTGGGAGCCCCGTTAGTAAATGAAATAGTTTAGTGTAGCTGAAATATAATCTTTAAATATCCCACAAATTAAGTTTTGAGAGGACACCATCTATTAAAAGACGAAAATAAGAGACAAAATTTCCTGCATTTTGGGTAATTTTTTAAATTTCCTGTACTTTTCAGGTTTTCCCTGTGGAGTAGCAATCCTGAAATATATGTGTATTTGTTGCTGAGATTTCTTACATATGTTACAAACAAGCACAGAGAGAGCTTGTAAGGTAACAGAATGGGTAAAACCTCTTCCTCAGGAATTAGCAAAGGTTGAGACATACAGGCGATCGAAATGGGCTATATGGTAGGAACCGAAGGAGAATTCCAGTTCATTCTTGGGCTGCATCTACCAGATGCTGGGTGCATTGGAAATAAAATGACACATAGTCCTTCCAAATACAAAAGAACATTTATTCAACAAAAATAAACAGCTCCTCGTCAGAGCTTACTTCTCCGACGGAATCATAGCATCGAATGACAAAATCTGACGCTAAGCACCGAGGCTCGCATCGCCAACTCTTTCCACACTTCACTTCATTTTACAACATTCTCCCCCTGTTGAGACTCAGAGTGAGTCTCAAGCTCATAAAATACATTATTAAACAAATCAATTCTTTTGGGAGCTCTTACACATCCTCCAGAGGAAGTATATTGCTGCATTATTGTTTTACCAGGGGCTCACCCACCTTTGATTTTACATTCAGCACCACAATTCGATTCCTTTACACCAAGTTTCTTATCTGCAATGATGCTCATTTCATTTGCCTGAATTTCTAGTGGGAGGATACGTTGAATTGGACATAAAATTGATTCATGCTGCTGCTCAAACTGGCTAACAAAAGAAAATTCAATAGAAGCAAGTGAATTGTGTATTTTTTGTGGGAAGAACACTGGGTAAACTAAAAAAACCTTAAAGCTAGTAAATTTTCTGCTGTGGAAAAAAGTCTAATGATGAGCATGTAGCAATGTAGAGCTCAAAATATCCTTAAAGGAATAGTTAGTTGGAAATTTTCGAAAAATATAACATCAAATTTTTTAAAATGTCTGGCCAAAGTACCAGTGTGCATGACTAAGTCTGTGAGGAATTTGTAGAAAAACAAAAACTCAATATTGAAAGACTGTGATGAAAAAAATACAGGTCATCTGCAACAATTCAGATTTTCAAATTCATGACATTCCATGTTCAATTCCAAGAATTTTTCACGACTTAACGAAGTTACTATTTTCTCCCAACAAAAACACAACAATAAATTTAAAAAAGCATTATAACATTAATTGAAATAATGGGTATAACCAAAACTGTTATACTCTGCATCTTCATATTTACTGATTTTAAATTTAAAAGAAANGAATTTAAAATTAAAAAAAAACAGAGTAAAGAAAGAGTTGAAGCAATAAAATAGCTGCAAAAAATACAAAGGCATATAATTTTTTTTCTACAGAATTATATTCTAAAGATACTTTTCTTGTTCATTAGAAAGGAAAGAAATACATCTGATTTTTCTGTGCTCATTTCGGAATAAAAAAATTTGCCAATGACTGGCTTGCTTCAGCTAGAATTTGAAATTGATGAAATAAAAATAACAAAAATTCTGAAATCATAGAAGTTTAAAAGATAATTCGCTCTAGAAACAATGTTTTTCTTTCATTTGTTTGGAAAGAACACCATAATTTTTAAAGAACATGATAAAAACATTTTATATTTTAATAAAATATGACTGTGAGTGGGTATTTTGTTACAATTTCAGATATTCGGAACACCATGAAATGTGGGGGGGGGGATAAATTCCATCTTAAAAATTTGATTTTTCGGCGACCTAAATCAATGACTTTCCATGATTTTTTTTTTAAAAAATAGTTAAAATCATGACAAATTTTGTTTAATACCGAAATTCATGACTTTCCATGATTTTGTATGACTTTCCAGGTGTGCAGATATCCTGGACATATATTTACATACAGTAGAAATTGAAATACGGTCTAACACTACTATAATGAACCTGGGATATAGTGATGTGGAAATGATAGTGGATGCTTTCAGTGGTTGCATCCAAACTGCTTATGTTATTTTATACATTTACAGTGAACAGTTGAGAAATTGATGGTTTGCTTATAGTGGACTCAAATTAGGGGGAAGTTAAATTTTATTTAATCAACAAAATGTATTTAATAATACATTGCAATAACATGAATTTAATAATGTATTCAATTAAATAATTAATTATGGAAATGATAAGCACCAATAAGATTGTAAAACTTCATTAAGCAATACTAATTTAAAAAGAAAATAATCACCCAAAAAATAAATAAAGCATTTTGTTAACTCTAAATGTCAAACAATCTTAAAAAATGCAATATATTTCATACATAATTATATAGGGGGAAAATAAAATACAAGAAAAACTAATTAATTAAATTAAATAAAAACATCACTTAAAAATTTCCAAATAGACAGCACCAAAAAAAAAGTGCTTAAATTGTCGAGTTTTAAGTTATAGAGTACAAAACTTATTGCCAAACAAAATAAATAAATGCAGCATAATCTAGAAATGTATCACTTGTAAAAAGAGAAAACTGCAATCTGTTTCATAAAATAATTGTCAGCTTTAATATGCTTCTATTAATAAACTTCTTATATTTCTTTATAAAAGCAGATGGTTTTTAACGAAAGCTGATATGATTCCACAACAGGCAAAACTCTAAACCACATCTCTAATGAATCAAGATTTACTCAATTAAGACACATTTTTCAATAGATATCAAATAAATAAACATAGCAGGGGATAAAAAAACGTTCTATTCATAAGAATTAATGTATTATTAATTACTAATTAACAGGGTTCCCACTCTTTAAACAAAGCAAAAATTAAGGACTTTTTCGATAAAATTAAGAAACTTAAAAATAGTATGATTGTTTATCATCGAATATACCACCAGCAACAGTTATTTACCTTTCTTAAAAAATCAAAAAAAAAAATAATAATAATAATAAAAAACAATTTTATTATAATGTAAGTACTGATATAATTGTATTAATTAACAGGGTTCATTAAAGTAGGACCAGGTAATTTTTGCAAACCCGGGTTAGGTTTTCTTAAAAAAACATTTTCAGATTGTTAAATGTATATCTATGTAAATAAACTGTATTCCATTTTTAATGATTTCATTGAATTGAATCATAAAATTAAGCGCAGAAATTAAGATTTGCAATTCTTTTCATACATTTAAAAAAAATAGAAAATAAAGAAATTTGGGAAAAACACTGAAAAAATTATTAAAACAAGTTTTTATATTTCACTGTTAGGCACGCATCACATATTCATTTGTGGGCGGCATCAGCTAAATATTAAGTTATGCCAAGCAGTTAGTCTCTCTAAAATGCTCTACCCTCAATGCATGGTCTCATTCTAGGTGATAAAGTAATGGACTTTTTTAAAAAATATTTTGTAAGACTGAAAAAATTGTTCCTATTAAGTAATAGTGATGCAGAAAAATTAAGGACTTTTAAAAACCTTGTACCAAAATTAAGTACTTCTAAGGGCCCTTGTTTTCCAAAATAAAAATTAAGCAGTTTTTAAAGACCGTGGATACCCTGATTAATGTATTATCCAAAATTATTCTTTAAAAATAAATTGTCATAATTAATCAAGGACAATGAGAAACAAACAAGGATTTAAAAAAAATAAATAAAAAATAACATGCCAACTTTCGGATATTTTAATAACAAACTAAATCCTTTGTATAGTATACAACTTACTGAAAGTTTTTGCACCTCAGACGTCAAATCCGTTAATGCTTGCTTAAGCCTCACTTTTATAGTTGTATTTCTCACTAAAACAATAAGAAAAGTTAATACAACATCTCACATGTTTACAGTTTTTTAAAAAAAATATATAACTCACCAAAAAGCAATGCAACCACATAACAAAACTTGATAAGACTTTTATCATAACCAATAAAATTTTCTCTAAAAAAACAAATCTAATTATTTTAAATTATCTAAAATGTGCGACAACCTATTCATAAGAAAACGAAAACATATACTAAAAAATATTTCATATAACACTAAAAATTGATGCACTAAAAAATGCATAAATACAAAAGTGAGAAAGTGACTTCAATATTAACTAAAATTAATTAACTATGAAGGAAAATTAATCAGTAATATACATTAGTTTTCTAAGTGGGTCAAAGAAAATATCAAGATATTCATAAAAAACAAACAAAAACAAAACGAAAATCAGGACATTTTTTGGAACAGCGTGTATCAGATTATATTTTAAAAAATGCAAACTAAAAACAGTATAATTTGCTTCACTGAAGTGTAATAAAAGCAAATTTTTATAGCAAAATAATAATAAAATATACTATTTTTAAAATCATAATTACTTCGCTTGGAACGAAAAGTTTTAACAATTTTCAGCACGATTTTATTAATACTCATAGCTGCCAACTTGTTAAAAACAAAATTAGGAACAACCAATATGGGGTAATTATGACACAAAGTAAAAAGAAAAATATCAAAACATCGATATCAAAATATCAATTGATAAACCATACACGTTACATATTTAACATAATTTTTATAGCTAACAGTTTTAATTAAATGACTTTAAAAATGAAGAATATCCCACCTTTATAGTAACTAATTCCAGAAGAAACTTACTTTTTCTAAGAATCGTACTATTGTATTTTAAAATCGCATGGATATAAATTGTGCTGTTTTGATTTTAAAATCATGCGGATAGGAGCGGCGTTGTTGGATTTCAAAATCACTTGAATATTTATCGCGCTGTTGGATTTTAAATTCACTTGAATATGAGTCACGATATTGGATTTTAAAAATGCGAAAATACAAATTGTAGGGGCAATTGCGATATTCAATATTCAAATTACGTAAATATGAATCACAATGCTTAATTTTTAGATTGCCTGAATACGAATCACAATATTGTATTTTAAACTAGTGTGAATACGAATTTCCGTATTTTCGGAACAAGGATAAAAAATTGGAACAAATAAAATTTAATCAGAACAGTTGGCAGCTGTGAATACTGAACAACTCATAAAAATTTTAAATCAATGTGTGGTGGAATCAACAACAAACTATGCTCAATGACCGAAATTTTGAGAAATGTTAAAATTTAATTAAATAGTTGGTATAACAGGGCTCAAAAAACCGCCCGCCCATCCTCGGCGGTCAAAAATTCCCCGCGGACAACGAATTTCTCGAATCCGACGTCCGCGCGGATGGCCATTTTCTCGTTTATGTTTGTGATACATTTTCAATTTTTGTTATCTTACAAACAAGAGTCTAGCGCCTCACTTCTAAAATGACCCTCTAATCTCGAAATACAGCAACATACTGCACATGGTGGAATGGAAGTTTTCTCTGTCAAGGAGTACTGCAGCGGTTGAAAGGTGCTTTTCAGCAATGAACTTACAAAAACACACATTACGTACTGGTCTTAAACAAGAAACGTTAAACGCAATTATGAACATCTACCTAAATGGAAAACCCCTTTCAGATTTCTGTGCAGAAACCTCTGCAAATCATTGGCTTGATTGTGGAACTGGCAAACATTATATTTGATTCATTTAAAAAACGCAGTACCCTCGGATAAATTGACATTCCAGATAACTTGACCTTTGTCATTTAAATTATTTCATAAAAGAAAGAAATAACTTCATAAAAGAAATACTAGGTTACTATAAGTAACCTAGTATTTTTTTTGTTACTGTATAATGTAATCCTAGTATTTGTAATCCTAGTGACTACTAATTCATTGTGCAATTTATATAAATGTTTGTAATAAATAAGAGAAAATCATATTTTTATTTATTTAGAAGCTACGGGTTAGTTTCAAAGGAGGACGGGTACATTGTTGG